CTGTGCAAAGCTTACCACATACATTTTTAAATTTCGAATTATTGTTGGTAAATATATTATGAAGTAAAGATTTTTAAAATGTTCAGTGCAATTTATAAATAACATCGCTGTGTGAAGTTGAAAAATTTAGTGCAATCGAAATTTTAAACATTTTAAAAATACTTATCGTATATTTTAAAAACAATAGTTTAGTCTACTGTACACGTTTTATCTAAAGTAAAAAACAATTAATAAAGTAAGATAATGGATGGGCAAATCAAGAATATAAAATCGTATTAGCTGTACACCTTTAGTACCTCAATTAAGTTTGGAATTTAATTCAGAAATTACTAGGACATAAAGTGGGCATGGTGTTTGTAGAGATTGCAAAGCAATTATCAGTGGAGCTTTATTGGAATTTCAATGCCAGCTTGGTAGTACATAAGTTCACAAAAGGAATCAACTAGTGTAAAACGTTTTAACTATTACACTATTATTATTAAGTCACTGTTGCACAAAATATTATGGAATCCGATTGTTCGACAACCTATGTATATTATGTTCAAGAACAGCGTTGGTACAGTGACGTATTTAGGTGGAGGTCCAAGGGTATTGGACCCCCCTCCCGTTGAAAATACTCCACTGCCTAGGCATAATATACATAGGTACCTACATCAGATTATTATCGTCATTTTGTGCAGATCGTAAGACCAATACTCATGTCAGTCGTAAAAAGCGATCGGTCGTCTTGTGAGAAGTGAATCACATGGTTTATACCTACCTGTTATTACCAACGTAGGTACCCATTTTACATTATTACCGCCCTGCGTGTAGGAGGTGTCCAAGCCTAGGGTTACTTAGTTTTATTTTATTCGAAATCGCTTGTAGAATATAGTTTTTCAACGAAAAAAGTGTTGAGAATTTAGGATGACGATGAAATCGATTATAACGCGAGACACAAAGGTCGGCTTTCTTATTGTTATTGCTCGTGTGTATATGTCTACGCGTGTATGGGTTTAGAGCTAATTACTAGAAAGGTCGTTGTTTGCGTTTTTTCTGACAAAGTTTTATAAAGGATCCATTATGACGGTGACGACGGTGCCAGTAACGTGTGTGTGGGTGCGTGTAGGAGAAGGGATTGATGAACTAGAAATAAAATATATGATACGACGAGGATGGCAGATCGCCGGGGAAGAGAGTAAAATAGAGGATTTCCGAGTGGTCGACCGGGGGTGTTTGGCAATTAATTTTTACACTGCCGCGGTTTGCACTTGTCATATTGAATATTATTACTATTATTATTATTATTATTATTGTAGTATTGCGGGTGGTCCACGTATATTACTACTATGTGTGCTCGTGGTTCAATTAAAAACATCATTAAACACCCAGGGTTATAAATTCCAGACGTTCTTTTGTGCGTGAAATCCCGGTTTTATTATTTTTTATTTTACTTCCCGGGTTTTTCTTTTTCATGGTGATCGTTCCACCAGTTTCAAACTATGTATACACTTTTCACCGGCCATTTTAACTTGCAAGCGACTGTCGGTCCTGGCCCAACAACTGTGATCCTCGAACGAATACGACGACTAAAATCGAACCATAAAAATACAGTCATCGTTACGAGTCCCGAGACCAGTCGTAAGCCGCATCGGTGCTCGGCGTATATTACACGAGCACTGCACAATGTTTGTCCACGTGCGCATAATGTAAACACCGTTGTTTTTAATACGTGAGCGGGCTTTAAATCGTCACAAAATAATAGTATACAACCGTCTTTTGCCGAGCTGGTTATAATTTATTAAGTAGGAAGGTATTATTTCTGTGCTCTCGAAAACTCGACGACCGTAACTTTTACACATAATATTATAATATTTACTCGGCAACAGGTGTGCTGTGCTACAACATCATCACTAGGGCTTGTCGTTGAACGAATACATTCATTCATGGCCCTATTGGTAGATTTCAGAGTATGACTCCATAGCTCATGAGAAGATTTGATACATAAATATTAAGCCCGTAATATGGCTATTTGCAAAGTTCACACCTAAGAAAAAAAAAAAAATTTTGATCACAGAAGAGTGAGGATACTAAAATAATGAAATTAGAGAACTCTATAATTCTTTATATAGAACTCAATGAAATTAACTTTTCTCTCTCTGTCGCTCAACCTTATACGTCACAATTTTTTGTTGGACCTTGGCCGTCATCTGTTCGACTAAATAATAACTTTGGGGAGCTGTGTTAAGAATTTAGGGGAGGCTTTGGGGCCATCAAAACACTATGTATACATGTAACATGTATCCAGAGAGATAAGAAGTAGCCAAAGAAAATAAATGAAAAATAAAATGAAAACAATTTTAGGTAATAAATAAAAACAATAATTAAAATAAAATATCTTTTTCGCATAAGCTAGACCCAGACACGATTTGTTGGTGAGCCGCCGCTCGGTGACCCCTGGTCCCATATGGGGTACAATTTTTATCGTGGACTTTCTCACAGAAGTGTATAGGAACATCGCATTGTTATTTTAACTTCTGATCGACATCCCAACGAGAGTCTAGCCAACTATTTTATGACAACCGCTCAACCAATGCACTCGTAATACGAGCCTGATTTTACCATTTTAATACATCGGATTACCTATCGCTATATACAATACACGTTATTACATTGGCGTATATTTTATACCGTGGCGAGCGCGTGTCGGGAAATTCACCGGTCTCGCCGTTTGATGGTGAAAAAATTACTGTTAGAACCGTTTTTTTCGCGTACATAACCTACCTATATCGTTATTTTTCCAACCCCGTAACACAGTGTTCCCCGTTGCTTGGGATTTCGATTTTTCGGTAGGTATTATTTTTAATGCCCTCCTCATCAAAACAGCGTTTACCGAAATATATTATACTGACGTACCCATATAGCGTTGTTTTTGCGCGTGGCGTCAATATTATATGCAATCGATATTTAACATAATACGGGATTAATGATACCGTTGCACGTTGGCATAACATAGTACTCGTATATACGCGACCGTGCTTCGACGACCGTAATTGTGTGCAGTATGAAAAACGGATGTGTTCTGCCGTACACGGTTTGTCGATATTTGCAAAAACGGGTATTCGACTTGCTTTTCTTGCTTTACTGTAACCGCACCGTGTCATCTTTGAGGTCGATTACACTGCTACGCGCTTGTTAGTTTTTCCGTAATAAATTGCGAGTTACCAATCACAATAATAATATGAAATATTATAATAAACAGTGAACGCACTGTTAACTACACACATATAGCGATATATACATACACCATTATTATATTAAAGTTCAAAGGAGTGTGATATTGATATGTAGATACACAACACACATGTACAGTTGCCCAGTATACGTTTCCGTGTTTTGCCGACATTTCGACGGTAACATTCAAATACAAAATATATACATATAATAAGTAATAACCTATTGTATATTTAGACGTAATGGGATATCGGATATATATATATTCAGCTCTGAATAATATACGTGCATTATGTTTATATCTGCGTGTACATCACCTAAACTGAAACATTTACATACTTAAACCACGTACATGAGTTGGTGGGCACTGAGCAGTATAGTTTTCATCAGGAAACCCGATATTCTTTCATTTATATTTCCGATAAAATGGATAAACCGAAATTTTTATCATATTTTATGACGGTGACTAAAATACATGGTACCCCATACGATTATGTTTTTAAAACCTCACAACACATGTAGGTACGCGTTTTGCGATTGCCCATAATTCGATCCGACAAGTGGCGCTCTCCCCACGTATCGTCATGGGTTTTAAGATAAATTTGCCTCTGTAATCCATCAAAATGCGCTTAGACACAGCGGGTGTTAATTTGAATTTTTTGAGAAAACACGCGGCAATTTAAATAAGAATAATACACTCTAAACTTGGAAATATCGCGGTACTCGTTTTAATTAAAATAGTTTACTCAACTCGGTGCGTGTGAAAATGTTTATGAATCACTGGAACGTACCTACCTACTAGGAGTTATTCGTGATTAAACATCGTCATAAGCCCGTCATCCCGGTTGTTATAGAGTTTTCCGTTAACTAGTTATTAAAGACAAGCGCTAGTGCCGCTAGATAATATGAATTTTAAATTAATTTTTTTTTTGTCTACGGTAAAATCAATCAAACTGTAGGTATAATTTAGATATGGTCGTAAACACAATTCCGCAAACGTCTGTCGCTCACCAATTACAAAATATCTCACAGCGACATTTTTGTAGGTAATAATATAATATTCCGATATACGCTAAATTATTCAAAAACGAACAGTGTACCATACTTGTTGAAAAACACATCTCCCAGCTCAACTCATACAAGTCGACTATGGTAAACAAACGGCAGGAAAACCGTAGAACGCTGCAGCAACAAGATCGCAATAAAATATAATAAAATATTTCGTTCTGCAATACACACCCGCCCACCCACCCTCTCACGAACAAACCAACACACGTAATATATTGCGTGTGAAACGATGTATTTTATTTTTCAAAAATAATCGTCCAACAGTGTTTTGATTTGAGTGAAAATTCGCACTAGATAGCTCGTCTTATATTACATATTCGTATTATATGTTTTATGACGGCGATCATTCATTGAAGGTACACGTTCGATCGCGCTGGAGGGCCGCGGGGTGTACACAGGGCACTAGGAAAATAAATTATACATCTGGACGTTCGGTATTCCGATACAAACACTGTCACAGAAAATACACCATCATCATCATCATCATCATCATATTATTATTATTATTGTGTTTCAAGTACAAACGAGTTTGTTGTTTTTTTTTTTATCTAACGCCGACAACTCCGTATTTCATCTTCCGCTGTGTACACCTTCTATACTAACGTGTGCGAGCACGTGCAGTGTATTATATTTACAAATCGCAGTGAAGGAGAATGAGACGAACGAATACGATATGGTTTGCCATCGTGTTAAACATATTTTTACGTGTCTAAGTCGATTCGGATTGTCATAGTGATAATGATAGCAGTAATAACAATAATAATAATCGGCGCCCGGCGAGTGCTGCTGCACGAAACGGCAGTTTTTCATTTTTCCGCTCGTTTCCTGTCCACGAAATCCCTGTACAAGCTGAAATCCAGCCCGTTGTCCCGGATGAGTAACAGATGTTCGATTTCGTCGTTCAGCGTTTCGATTTCGCGAGACGCAGTTTCGATTTTTCTCTTCAATTTTTTCAACTGATGCTTCATTTCGCTCTCTGAATCGCCGCCGAGAATACAGTATATGTACCTATACATTGTACAAAATACAAAAATCTGTAGACAGTTTTCATTTAGTGCAGTCGTCGGTATTTTAGAGTTATGCGTAGAGCGACTTCAGAAACCGTATTGTATTATATATAGCTTTGTGCACATCGATCGGCCGACCGTACAGATGTACAAGACAATGGTCGAAACATTTTTTTAATGTATTTTTTCATATCAAGCTTTTGCCCCCGTAACATTAAAGTATCACATTAATAATCATGACATTTAATGTCGGTGTACCTACGCGTATACGTGTAGTACGCATGAAAAATCCTTTTAGTGATGTCGAAACGGTAAACTACCTACTTACTTATATTTTATATGGTGCAGAGGCATGAACGAACAAACAGAGAGTCATTTCATTTTAATGAATATGGAATGTCTGTGTTATATGATATCATAGAACCGTTAAACTATTCAAATTTACCGAGAATTGTGGGATAAATATTGTACGCGCTGCTGTGAAATCTGGAGTACAGCATTACTTAATAATGTGGGATAAAAAAGGAAATTAATAAAAAAAATATTATTACTTCGTTAGATATTTAGACCTGTTGTAGATATTACGATTAGGTTAGGTACCATATTATATTACACTTAAATTGCAATGAATCGTTATAGTAGTTGTAAACTGTTGTTTTCCAGCCCAGAATTTTATGTCAGTAAATTTAATATAAGATTTGAATTGATAAACTGTACCTATAAAAAATAATAGAATAAATGATGCAACATGTTCATGTGCCATTTAAAATGAAGATGAAAATCATATGAGTTAGAAATAAAACAACGAGCTATAATGACTTACTAAACTTATTACGAAAAGATTATTTTATTTCAGTACTTCATACTTTCATAAATAAATGCTTATTTTTTGTAATGTTTTATACATATTGAATATTAAACTATGCTAAAGCAAATAAAAAAAAACTTTTAAATATTAAATATTTTAACGAATTCAAATGTTAATATAAAAATACACTACTAAAATAAATGATATGGTAATGCTTTCAGAGCACATTAATATATTTTTTTAATTACTTCAATGAAAAATTTAATTTAAATTACCCGAGGGTATATGTGGATGATAAAACATAATTTCAAACTTATTTTAATGTACGAAACATTTTTAATACAATATAATATATTAATATTCAAAGCATTTTTACTTTTTATACAACACATTTCATTTAGAATTAACTTTTTTGACTTTATATTGTCACTGAATTTACAATATAAATATCAAACAAAGAATCATATTTTTATGAAAAAAGCTATTTGCTATAGTAGGTATGCCTGCTTAATTCTTCTTGTGAAAAAATTACAATCTGAGGAATTTCAATTAAAATGCAAAGCGTTTAAATGTTCTTTCTAAGTGTACCTGTTAAGGTAATAAAGATTTAAAAACCTATATCGAAGATCAGAAAATATATAGCTCTTGGTACACGAAAATATAAGCGTATTTGGCTCCATCGATAATGTGTTGTCATTGTAAGTGAGGTACCTGCGTGGTAATGGATAGGTGATATTAAAAAACAATTATAAACAAATTTTTATTATTAATGCATAAGTCGATTTTTGAATTCAGGCATTTAGGCATACAACATGTTAAATAATATGAATAATAAATAACTAGGGTGCATCAATCGAAATGATTCATAGTAACATAATTATTCTTTTTATTTTTTAAAAATGAATTATTGAAAAAAATTGTTTGATACTCGAAAAACACGGAGAGATAATTGAATACACTTCATAGTATAACAAGCACCCTATTATATAAAAAGTTTTGTATATTTTATCTTTCACATTTTTATTTTTAAATATTTTAAATCACACATACTAAATTTCAAGATGTACTTAAAGGGGGTGATGGCGTAGACTGACGTACATTGTGGTGATCAAAGCAGCTGGTTTACAGAGAACCCAAGTTTAATATACAATTATTAAATTTCGATTTAATATAGTATTGATATTGATTTATTTCAATTAAGTCCAATATTTGGTTATTTTCTGAACAAAAATTAAATATAATATTAAGATTTTTACATGAACCCGTTTCCATGAGGATGGCGTGATTTTGAAGATCAAGCGAAACCGTATCGATATCAGAATTAATTTTTATAATGTTTTGGCCTTGTCGTCTACCTAATCAGAAAGTATCGATCACAGAATAATTAGATTGAAGATAAATAGATACCTATAATATTAGTATTTTCTTATACAATGATTGGTTAAGTTCGTACAAGTTTCATTTAAAGAAAATAATATTTACTGATAAACGTTTTTTGGCGAAGGATTTTCGTTGAACAAACAATACAGTGCATTTGTTATAGCTGATACAACTCCTTTGCGTTCCAAGTACAACTCAAAAGCCGACCAGTCGTCAAAATTTACCTGTAAACATGTTTTTGTTACTTACAAGGTTTTTTGCACACACTCCGTTATTTATACATTTTAGAAGAAATATTATTTTAAAAATTATCGTTATTGTACTTGCATAATTGCGTATTATACTACGAAAAAACTCGCATTAAATGGAAATTAGAAACCAAAATCTAGTAATTCAAATTTGATACACACACCATACGCTCAAACAACGATTTTAACCAAAATTAAGACGGTTATTTTTTTTTAAACACAAAATTAAAGTTTTTGTTTTTTAACAACGACATTTAGTGAAACCGATACCAACCTATCTATTTATACTGAAAATAATAACTTAGGCTTATAACAGATATGATTTAGTTACAAAGTATAATTTCTTACAGATGAACAAAATGTTAATTATATAAAACCATTTTTTCGTTTTAATCTTTAAATACACTTGTTTTTTTATATGTTTCTGTTGACAGCTTATATTTAAATAGATTATACATCAACGGTGTTATATTCAAACACTATGCGCTGTTGTGCCACTTTCCAGCGATATTAAAAATGAATTTTCTCAATATTTCGTATGTACACGAAATGGTTGTTTATTATTATACATAATACATCCGTTATGAAAAATAAACTAATACCTTATAACATGAAGTATATTAATTTGTATATTACCTCGAAAATTGAACGCAATATTCCTCATAAGTATAAAATATAAGTAATACATGATAAGCATTTAAACTTTAAAGTTATAACTTTGACAACATTCATCCAAATTGTGAAAATTAGCATATTATTTTGTAGGCTTAAATGTACGAAATAACCTACGTATTGCTTTATACCAAAATAAATAACTTAAATAGCAGTAATTGTATATCATGAAATATACTCAGTACACACAGTCTTCGCTTAAAGTCGTTTTTCGAATGCAATGAGTTATTATTGGATTACAATTTTACCGTGATTTACTCTTCATAGTCCTCAATGATGATGTACTCGTACTCTCACACTCACTAAACAGAAGAGCGACTACTTTACTCTCTCCCTTTTTGAACTTACATTTTCAAAATATAATTAAAAGTTAAAATGACAATATTGTAGATATTTACAGTTTCCAACGTATGTTTTATTTGATTTAATATTACATTGATATTAATTATATTCAAAATTAATGGTGTTCATGTTTTAACACATCAGTTTTTTTAATATAACATTTTAATTGCGTAAATACAATTTACAACATTCAATATTATTTTATAATTTCATCCCTCTGTCTAAAAATAATTATCATTAGATATTAAATAGTGCAGAGTGGTTCACAATAAAATAATCTTCAGATTCAATAAAACAGACTGAGTATAAAACATACTATAATTACTTAAACACTTAATATCGAGACTATGGATTTCAGGAGTTTTTTAATATATATTTTGTAATTATTGGAAACGAAGTACTCTGATCGCTTATAAGTAATTATGAACGATGTACCATTAACATTATGAAATGATTTATGTATATATTACCTAGACTACTTTACTATGCAAAATAACTTTAACTTTCATAAAATTCAGTTGTAATTTGCGTGGCAAATATATTATATGTTTGAAGATTATTAAAATAATGAAAAATTAATTAAGTTACTATAGATTGATGATCCGTATAAGTTATAACTAACAAATGACAACGATAAATTTACGATTAAAAGTGATATTAAAAAAAAAAATAGCTTGTGCCCTGATGTAATATTAATTACAAACGTAGAATATTCGCATGATGGTTATTACTTATTAGTAATATTATTATTTTAAATTACAATTTAGCAGTATTAAATTTTTTATATGTTCTGGAGCTGCAATTTTGATTAGGCATAAAATAATATTTAACGAATTTTCTATCTGTAAATGATTAGCAATATGAAATTTTATAAACATATAGATATATTATAAAGTATAATGTGAAAATAAGTATTGGAATAATTACAACAATATTAAAAGACTTTTCTGTAATTAGAAAAGAAATTAACCATAAATCCACACGATCTCTACGTATTGATATAAATTAGGTGTTTAAATTCTGTAGGTTTAATAAATCGGATAGGTTCTATATATTATTAATGTTTAATTTGATTACTTGTTGTAAGCTGTGAGGACGACAATGACGGACAAACAAGTAAGAGATGACTAATTTATATTCAATAAAACTTACTGCAGATATTTTGTATACTACATGGTTTTCAATAATGGTAGGTACAAATAACTTTCACTCACATTCTTGCGATCAACCGCTGAATTTTTGTCCATTGCTCGTCAATAATGTTTTTTATTAGTCAAAATAATCTTTGTTGCACTAAATGCTATTATTTATTAAATTAAACGCAAAGCACTGAAAATACCGAGAGAATGTTATGATATGAATTATAAGTGATTTTTGACGAATCCATCAAAAAACCATAGATACCCACTTTATTACATTTGGTTTCAGCCAAATATTCTCCAAACTATGTAAAAATTTTGAACAACGTCACTCGGAAAATGTAATACGTTATATTAAATATTTTACCACAGAATCCAGGGTATATTAATTTATTACAATACAATCTGTTTGCTATAATGATAATAATCAAACTGATGGTATTATTATTCATTTATCAATTCATTCTTTAGAATTTGAGAAGAGTGAGGAATGTAAATGGTGTACTCTGATTTTACAAATAAATGTTTATTGTACTGATATATGCGAAAGTTTTATCACAGGATCGAACTAGACCGTGCAGACCCGCGTGTAACCCCTTTGCACTGGTGAACAACAAAAATACAATGCATTTTACGACATACGTTTGTTTTTCACATTATTAATCGATTTTTGTTACTTTGTTTAAAATTAAAATAATCTAAAACCATAATTAGTTATTTATGTAATTACATATAATAATATTTTGAACAGATTTATTTTTATTTTTAATCACATGTATATATGTATATAAGATTCTTTGATACTCAAAAATATGACAAAAGGTATTATTTTATGGAAATAATAATATCAACATTATTATTTCATTGTCATAATCAGTCTGGCTTCAGAGAGACTTAGACATTGTTAATGATCAAATATTTATTCAATTTTAGAATGAGCATGTTTTAATTACCAAAACAATTTAATTAATATTTTAAAACTATTTTAATACCTACCTACCATGCTATTGTGAAATCAAACATTTCAATAAAGAGAAAACATTTTAACAACGTAAATTTATAAAACATTTTGATTGTTGATGAGATAAATTGATAAATACATATTTTTTAAAGATTATTATTATAAAATACTCACAAACTTTATCTTCAGCCCAAATGTGTTACCATCTGCCACGGGAGTCAGTCGAGTAATGAAATATGTATACAATGGAATATATAATATATATTTTTTAAATATTAGATTATAAACACTGTGTTTCGTACTTCTGAAAAGATAATATTTACAAAAACGAAGTACAATACCAAAACATGAGTTTGTCAAGTTTTTGAAAATTACGTGCACACACCATAATATTTACTATTAATTTTCTTTATACATAAAATACTAATAATAATCATAATAATAATGAGAATAGTGATGTGATAAAACAATCACCCACTGGTATCAAAATATTAATATTAATATTTTGGTATCTTAATATTAATACAAAGGCATTATAAGAAAAAACCGAGAAGTTTTCAAAACAATAACTTGTATCTCCCCTGTTAAATTTACAGTCCAAAAATACGTGCTAGAACAGACATTTTTTTGAACTGTTTTTACTGAACAAAAGTGTTTAAAAAAATTATTGCTGTTTTATGGTACATACACACATCGTATAATATAATTAATCCACAAGGGCATGTCTCGGTCAGTCCACTCAACAACGTATGAAAAATTGTGATCGTGCAAATTTAATAAAGTCACGACACGTTTAAATTTTAACAGTCACGTGTTATCGGAAAATCACTTTGGCGCCGCGTCGTCTTCTCCTCGTGTATTATGCATTGAATACACTAGTGCGCACGGGTGGGCGTGAGTGTGTGTGTGTGTGTGTGTGTGTGTGTGTGTGTGTGTGTGTGTGTGTGTGTGTGTGTGTGTGTGTGTGTGTGTGTGTGTGTATGCGTGCGTGAAAGCGTGCGTATACTCGATAAATTGAGTTTCGTGAGCACCGTAAATTTCAGACGCATAATATTTTCTTTTGTCGTAACGGGGCTGGGTTTGGTTTCATAACAATTATTATTATTCCGCCGAACATTTCATAATAAATTGTTCACGCCGCACAACGTTTACGCATGGACCTCAGCACCGCAACCGATTCGCGTACAAAAGCCAAAAACCAGAATGTATTATAATATACCTAATGCCAATGTTATAAAAACTTTAACTGGTCGCACGAAATCTGATGGTAAGCACCTCGATCAATTATAAAGAATTTTAAAAATCAAAACTCCATCTCACGCTATGTTATTACCGTCGTTATAAATGTTCAGTTTTGAAAACGGAAACGATCGTTGGGAAATAATAATATTATCGTTGCAAGTATACAAACATAATATAATAATATTATCGTAACACCGTATATTCGAGTACGTCACGTTTCAGTAGGTGTACCTGACAAAAGTCGGATAAAACGTAAGGTTAGGTCTGTACACCGACCACTTTAACCTTAGTGTAAGTACGTCTCGATCGTTAGGTGAATACGTGTCTGCAGAGGACGTCGACCGCGTCAGGTTTGCGAGGTATACCTAGTCTTAGCCGGAAGGTAACCGGCAAGGTATATTGTTAACTTCTGTGTTTCGTAATGTTAAGAGGATCGAATGTTTGTACATTTATAATTCTTACATTACATATACAGTGTACCCCGGAAGCGGGTGCTTGGGTATTCGATATTGGCTTTGAAGTTTGATTTATGCATAATATTATGTACACATTTTGTTGAGCTGTATGTATAATTATAACATTTTGAATATATAATTAATATTACATATCTCCGGGCGATACCGAATGAAATACAGAGTCAATATTTTTCCGATTCTGCGGAGACACTAGCGTACCAATTTATTGTATAAAATGTATAATAATTACTTATTTACTTTTGCGTAGGTTGTACATAACAAAAGCCCTTAGTGCATAGTAGTTGTATTGAGTTTGGAAAGTCAGAGTTGAGGCAGTGTTAATGGACGTTTTCTGCAGCAGACGATCATTACGCAGACAAACACAGCGTACGTACCTATTAGCGCGTGTTGTTTATTAAATGATATTTTTGCAGCTATATCGTAATATAATATATATTTCTGAATCGAAATATTTTTTAAAGTTTTGTGCAACTAAGAGGAATCGAAAAATGAAAATACCAGCAAATAGAAACTATTTATATTGTAAAGCATTTTCATGTGAAAAACAACGATTATTATTTATTTGTATGCAACTATAAAACACAAATCTGACTTATATTTATTCTTTTTTTTTTTTATTACAATCATTATTGCTCAGTGCTCGTGTACAATGCAGATGCGATGTTTTACAATATGACTTAATGGATTTTATGTTCATTCTTGAATTACACTGCCCGTGCTTTGTTGCATCAAATTCAAATGATTTCGACTTTGCGATATCGTTATAAAAAAAAAATACATTTGTTCGGTAACGCATTTATATCCGGCCGTTTCCATTATGAAACGATCCCGGTCGGGTCACAACACATAACATAATAATGCAGCAATTGTTTGAAAATATGTGATTGCGACTTTTTGTTGATTCGCCAACACGATATTCAATAGAATGGTTTTTCAACAAAGTTTCAAGATAAAATTATATTATAAACAATATAAACAGAGTTCTACACGAAGTAAACTATACAAAGTCGTAGGTATAACAAAAGATTTTATTTTATTTCTTTTTGAAATATTTCTATTAGAATATCAGTTAGTGGCTACTAATTTTTAACTACCTATTACTCATAAACGATAGACCTTACACTAACTCACCTTTTATTAGTACACTAATTCGCCTTTTTACATTCAAAACTATGAGATATACAGCGAGAGCACTGTCTTCTCGCTTGTAACTATTGTTTGTGAAATAATTCCTGCTTATTCCATATTAAGGAATATATAACATCGATTACTGTTAGTACGCTCATAATGCAATATTTGATGATTTTAAATTTGATAAAAAATTAAGGGAACTTACAAAATTAAAACTTGATATATTTTAACGTTGAGGTCATACAAGACAATTTATAGTTTTGATTTTTGACTTAACTCTTTTGAAAATCAAAATAATATTTATTTAATTTTATTTACATTGTAATGATGCCTACCTAATTTTACCTTTTTTTTGTGGCGTAATACTGCCATACCTACTGGTATATTATTCTAAATGGATAAAATAAATAAATATTTCCGATACACATAACTTAAAGAAATTCTTGAGTTAGCTTTAATATAAGATACACGCTCTGTATATTCAGTATATTTGATATCTTAAAATATATTTGATTATTTCAGAAATATGGATGTATTTTTTTGGAAATTCATATTGGTAAGAATATTTTTTATTTACTTTAGAAAGTTTATGTTAGTGGAAATATAAATCATCACGTACCCAGTATTATTTCTCAAAAAAAACAACACCGCGGACGAAGGAATAAAAATAAACTGTATGTGACCAAGTGGTGGATCAATATAGTCATGGCATCTCCATCAAAGATTACATGACGTGTTAATAAATACTGCAGCTGCAGTACTGTAGACAAAATTAAATTCTCAAAAACAGACATTAATGGTAACTAAACATTTAAATGACAATTGTATACGGATGTCGGATGAACTAAATTTGTTGGGTAATTTGTTCTTGCTCGCATTGTACCGACATTTGGAAGGCACGGAATTACAACTATGTCAACCAAAAAATGGCTTATACTTGTTAAATATACACGATTATATTTCTATACATCCTATATGGTCACAGCGCAATGTGAAATCCTTTTCGTGATGATGTTAAGTAAACGTTCAGTCACTGGTCACAGTTCGTTATAATATGGAACACAATATATAGTAGCATATCAGTCTCAATTCGTCTGAAGTCTCGACCTGTGAAAAGGACCATTATTCGTACAGAAAATTTATCGTTTCACATTTATTTTAAGAATTATTAAATGGAAACACACAGAATAGATTGTGTATGAACAATTAATTTGTATTATTAATGTGTCATAATGCGTTATACCGATATAAATCACGTTGGAACCAATCGTGTAAAAAGCAGTAAAGCACAAAATTGAAAATATAGGTATAATATAATATGCCGTATATAGGAACCATTATATTAAAAAAAAATATTATCTGTTTTTACATTTTTAACACGTGTTTAAACAGAAAGGTGAATTCTGAGTAATAATTTGATTACAACATTAAATTGTCTACGTGAATAATGGAACGTTTCACGTATGGCATATTGTACGAAATTGGTTTTACTTTGTTCGCCAAGTGCATTTGAATAAAATTGGTATTTTAAGTATAGACTCGAATAATGTATATACGCTTATT